CCATCGGTTTCGGTTCACTTATGGCATATGCATCAGCTAATAAATTCAAGAATAATTTTTTTCAGTAAGTGCACATTTTTGTTTTCTTGATGATCTATGCTCATCTGATGGTTGATAGTCAAATGTGTATTGTGGTATCATGTGACTGTTTTACCAGTGTTTTCGCCGGTTTTGCAGTGTTTGCTGCCGTTGGATTTTTAGCCAAAACATTGAATGAAAAAGTGTCAAAATATGCCGAATCTTCGGGTCCTGGTTTAGCATTCGTTACCTATCCTGAATCGCTCTCAAGAATGCCAGCCAGTCCTTTCTTTTCTGTCATCTTCTTTTTGATGCTTCTCACACTCGGACTCGGTTCACAAGTGAATTTATAGTTTCACAATCATATTCATAAACTTGTGTATAGCCTTGTAGTTTGCCATGACTGATGTGGTGATAACTGCTATTATCGAACTATTTTCATCGTTGCGAAGGCGTCGCGCCTATATTGTCATAGTTATTTGTGTGATTTCTTATATCATCAGTTTGCCATTTACGTGTCCCGTGAGTTTGTTTTATTTATATAGCTGGCGTTGAACAATTTGAAACTTCTCTTAGGGTGGTATCTATCTATTCGAATTCCTCCAAGAGTATACAGCCAATTTATCGTTACTTATTATCTGCTTCTGCGAAGCGATCGCCGTTGCTTATATATACGGTCTGCTCCATACTATCAAAAATACTTCTCCAAAAAACCCATATTTTTAGGATTCAATCGATTCATGAATGATATCAAAATGATGTTGGGCAAACGAACAGCTGAATACTATTTGTTTGTCACATGGTGCTTCACAACTCCATTTCTTACACTAGTAAGTCAGAGATACTCGAAATCTACTGAATATTGCATAATAGCCTGGAACCATCTAATATTTGGCTACTAGAAAACATAGGTGTTGATAAAGCATTTTCAAAAACATAATTTTCTGATCATAAATCAAGAGAAACAAATGATGATGTTCAATAAGAGCTTTCTTGATCGATCATCTACATGATCGTATAGTTTAGTTGCAAGGTAAAATATCTTTGAATATCTTCTCAGCCTTAGAAGTAATTAATCGAGTTTGATAGTACTTTTCTTCATTACTTTAGAAGGTTTTATTTATCTCTTATATATATGTCATTTTTAATGCCTTAAAAGAATGCTCTAATCATTCGATACTTTATACATCTGACGTCCCACAAGACTACGATCATTTGTTTTTGGCTTTGTGTTCGAATTTTAGCTATGTCTAGAACTACGCTCGGATATCTTTCAACTTATATTAAATTAACAGAAATTTGAATAGGAACTGACGCTATGATACATGTTTTTTGGGCTTACCTATTTAATTGGGATACATGATGATATCACTGTCTCTATGCCCGATTTCAATTTAAAAATGATTCACGAGAACAATCTTTTTATGAAAACTTCTCATGGTTTCTTATTTGTTTTAACTATTGGTGTTTCTTTTTGAGGTTATCACTGTCGCTAAATTGTTGAATAGCACTACACTGACGAGCAAAGCCAGTGGTGGATTTCCAGAATACGTCTATCCGACATGGAGTACCATATTAGGCTGGTTTATTTGTGCTTTTTGCGTGATTCCGATTCCTCTCCATTTTGTGTTCAACTACTTTCGAGAATATCGAATTCTTGGTGCTGTGAGATTGGTATGTTGATTTATTCTTGTTGGATTATTTCTCTTTCTGAATAAATAGACTGAAGATTTCAAGATGCGTGAAGGTCATGAGAAAACTTTACGTTACTTAGCAGCTTTTACAGCGAATAACTCGCCCAGACAGGACTGGGGACCTAAGAAGAGGATTAACCAATGTGGATCCTATGCTCATTTAAGTGCCACTTCGGTCAACAACAACAACAACATTTCTACGGAACGTCACAGTCAAATATTGTCTCTAGTAGACATGACCACAGTAAATACTGCAAGGAATATGATCAATCGCGGCTTCAATCTAGATTTCCAAGTGAACCAACATGATGCAAAAGATTCTAATCAACAATTTTGACCTTAGAACTTGACAAATTTGTCCAACCAACAATTCCACCTGTTTTACTAAAACTTTTCTTCACTTTTCATACAAATTACGTCTAACATGTCTTTTGTTCAAGAAAAAAAAATAGATTATTGTGCCATGTTGAAGTTGGAACTGAGATATACTACATATAATTTCTTATTTATATCTGCTTTGTTTGAAAGATGAGATAAATCCGTTTTATAATAAATAATGGGTATGTATGGCAGGATTGTACTCTGGTCGTTGAACCAAAGATTCATATCCACACCCTTTCTCAAGGATCTCATCAGGAAGTTAGAGAGACCAGCACACTTCAAAAGTTATTTCAACTTGGCGTTTAATGATGATAAAGTGACACATAATTGTTTACAATAAATATTCCCGCAAAAAATATACTGGTGCTTATGACGAAATATGTTAAATGGGAAAAAATGAAAAACATACAATTTTTTGCGTAAATTTCTGCTTTGTAGCGCAGTAAAATCTAATAGCGATGGTTTAATCTATCAAGGATAGCTTCTATCATGCCGAATCGATGGATTACAATGTGTCATCATTCATTAAGGCTGTTTTTATTTTGTTTGAATGGAAGCAGTCGAATAAGTATTGTTTAAAAGCTCTTTTTTCATGATTTTTCATTGTTTATATCAATGTTTGAAGTGTCTCACAGAACAAAACAGGACAAATGTGATATTTATATTCTTTGAGTTTTTTATCTTCTTGAGACAAATGAGTTTGTCATTCCACGTAAAAATTCTGGTACGAATTTAGCCATTCTTCCGTGCTCTTGAAAGATTGTAATTAATAATTTGCTATTAAGACATGACATACGTCGACTAGGTTTTGAAGTCGGTTGGTTTACAAGAAGATAAAAGTATGGCTTGACCGGTGGGCATCCGAATCCAAAGCGCAACTGAGAAACTTTTACTTAGCTTTTCACGGACTAAGAGTAATTTTCGTTGAAATTTCTTGAGCCAGAACGAAACCTCTACGTTAGCCTTCTTCGATTGTCAACTAAAAAAATAAAAAGAAAAAAGAATACGCTTCAAGTGAATACATACTGGCGCAATGACGAGATCAATGCACGTATTCCCTGTCACCCGTTCCAACAATTCAACACTTAACAGACAATCCTCTTCCATCACACTTTCCAGTTGTATAAAACACATTATGGTCAACGACTTCTCACGATAGAATTGTCGGCAATCAACGCTCACACTCAGATGTGCGTATCCGCTCGACTCGATTATCTTTTCTTCTTCTTCTAAAAGACGCAATTAATTTTATGATGTCTTCTTCCAAAAAAAATCAAACTCACTGGCATATACACGATATTTCTTTCCACTCTTCACCAACTCCGATTCGTTCATTGGTTTTATATTTTGTAAATGTCGTCTTAAATCCTGATACATTGATTGAATCATTCAGTCGTCAGAAAAAAAACATGTGTTTACCGAAAATCTCACGAAACGTATCCTTTTTGCTCCGAAAATGCAAACGATTTTCCATCACAAAGAATTTCACACGACGTTACTTCCGAAGCGATCACCGTTAAAATTAATGTCGTTGAAAATGATGTTCAATTCGTAACAAATAGTTGAGTGTTTCAGAAGATAGAAGACGAGTGATGTGAATGATAGCCACATGCTGCCTTTTATACATACATTCCAAACAAAACAAGTTTGTTCACGTAAAATCCATTATTCAAAAACACTGGCATTCATGTAAATAATGTTAACTCATAAGCTAATGTGACTGTCACTCGTTCACTCAGTGATATCTTCAATCGTGCACTTTATAGCACCACCAGTGCGATTATGTTTCTTACTAATTCAACCGATACATTACACGAAAAATAGCAATAAAAAAAAAGATCCACCACCTCTTAAACTAAACAGCTCGTACAACTACGTATAAGACCATAGTTCCCATACAACAACAACAAATTATTCATGTTCATTTAAGCTATGACAGATGTTTCGTTGAAACATGAAAGCAGCATAACCAAATAACTGCAATTCGTTAATAGTCTATATCATCAAGAGTTGTACGGATATTCTATTCAACAACAATGCCAGAATTTATTGTCCTAAGTCAAACTGAAAGAATGCTGCAAACATAAACGGTTCCACACACATTCCATAAATCTACAAGAATATAATAATTTCAGAAAGAGCAAAGTAAAAGAAACTTTTAAAAATCGAATGGTGTGGGTATCACTCTTTTCGAAAGACAGAGCGCCACATCCAAACCCTTTAAAGCTACGCTCAGCTTTTAAAATTCTGAAATAAAAATGTCAATTTTTTTTTATTAAAGTGCAAGAGTGTTTTGAGATCGCACTAGGGTTGAGACAGGGGATCGATGGCTTAGAAAACCGATTTATAGATTTTTGATAAAGAGAAAAATGAAAAAGTTTCAAAAATTCGTGGAGTCATCGCCTTGGCCTGCCTTAGCAACCCGTATGTGTATATTCTGTTTTTCTAAGTAACATGAGCATCCGAAGTAGCAGATGTTCTACACGTTTCATTTTTGCTTGGAAGATCGACTGAAATTTCATTATAAATTTGAAATAACGTATCTCAAAGTGGTTGAAATCAGATTGTCATTTTGTTTCTTCTCTTTCATTCTCTACTAGACAGTAAGTTGAGCACGCTGTAGGTGAAAATGCCATGTTGAGAATGTAGATATGAGTGTATAAAATTACTCCACCAGACATACACTTACATCCACGCCCTCTTTTGGCTGTTTTGATTTTATAACGTCTATTAGTCAGTTCTTTCAGTTTATATTTTTATCTGTACTTCTTTTCAAATATCTTCAAACGACAAAGAAATAGATATCAACATACAAAGAAAAAAGTCTCTTATCATATTCACTTGACTTGTCCTATGTTGCATTTTTTTGTTTTCATTCATTTAGCAACAGTTACAAGCTGTGCAAAAATGTCCGAACATCCAGCAACAACAACAACTACATCGCTATCAACAAAAGAAGATGAAGTAAACAACAACACAACTTTATCAAATAGTTTAAAAGGAAAGAAATTTGAAGGCGATGGACTTCGATTTAAAGGTAAACTTATCGGCACGGAAGATTTGTCAGTTGATCGTGATGAAAAACTTTGTCTCGACTCTATGCTTAAATTAAAAGCTGCTGTACGTACTCGTGGTGAACATAAACAACGAATTCAATTAAAGTTAACAATGATTGCTGTGAAAATTATCGATGATGCCACTAAAGTATTTATAAACACTTAATTCATTTTTTCAAAAATCATATTTTTCGTTTGTATATCATAGAAAGAAATTGTTAACCATGAACTTGATCGTATATCTTTTGTTGTTATTGATCCACGTGATTTACATGCATTCGGATATATTTATAATACATCTGATGATCGTCATCAAATTTGGGCTATAAAAACTGAACGACCAGCTGCTATGACTGTAATTAAACTAAAAGAACTTTTTGATTTGATCTTTGAACAATTTACAAATGCTGAAACAGCGAAAGAAGTTGGTCAAACAGTCGTAACGCGAACACATCCCCTACCACCATCATTGTCACAAGTACGTCTCCAGTGCAGATTCCACGAGAATGTGGATTTAGGATGGGACTGTAGGTGTGTACGTATGTGGATGTACTTCTGAAGAGTAAAACATTCACACGCACACTCACACCCGGCTTATTTTAAGGTTCCGACACTTTATTTTTGCACCGTTTCGTTTATATACATCCGATAAAAACAAGCTCCCATCCCTTTTGCACCAGACGTTATATTAGAAGCTGTAACTCAACGACTTCACGAGACTTCGACAGACTTCATGGGAGTTCATAAAACGTTGTGAGACTTTAGGGTGACGTCTCTGTTGCTCTTTCTCGACTCAAGTTAGAATTTCTTCACTGAACAGTGCATAACAAAAAGGTGTTTGAAATCATTCTTTTGCGATCTAAATGACAGTTTTCAGTTACACACTCAAGTTTAGTTTTGGTTGCTAGGTATATTAGAATACTTTTGACTGAGTATCTTTGTCATCACGCTATTAAAATATCAGTAATGTACCAATAGTCACTCACCAAACAAAACAATCTATAGTTGCTTCTTAACTCTGTTCTGTTTAGCTACAAATCTTCAAAGAGGAAAATTTTTTTTGTGAATTTTCGAATAAATATGTGAATCCGTGGTACTTCAATTTTTAAGAAATTTTTTTATAGCCACTGTGAAACTTTCTTTCTACGTGATTTCAGTGAAATAGAAAAGCGAGAAAGAAAACAAGCAGACATTCACCTTTGTGAACAACTATTCATATTTGTCTTTGTTGTAGGACTCATATTGTTAATATCAATTCGAATTCATCAACTTATGCTCGTCTATATGATCTTATGATGCAACAAGTAAGGCCAAAATCGACAAACAGCTAGGTGGATGCACATGCTTCTTGATGTTTATAGACAGATGTTATCGTTGTGTGTTCTTTATCAGATTTTTTGTATAAAATCATTTTAAAGTCGATGGGAATTTGATAAAATATTTGTACAATATAGAAAAAGAAAAAAATCGAATGCCTTCATCATCACTGTCGGCGGTGGATATGGATGTAGGGTGGTGGTGACTGTGGACATAGGTGTGGGTGTGGGTAAATAGAATATCACATTCACACCCGTATTTGTTCTTTGATTTCTTTGATCGGTCTGTTAAGCACTCCCATACTTTAATTGTGCTATACATTGTCTACAGTCATTTTTTATCAGCTAAAGTCAGCTAAAGCGACTAGAGTTTCTATAGCTAGCTTGGTCATATAAATCAGAATCACGTCAAACACAGTCAGTTATATTCAATACCGGAAGATCTGGGTAATAGTCTTCTTTTTCGCCCGTACTCATACCCTCATGAAAAACGATCTTTGTCTTGTCTTGTCTTTTCTTGATCGATAATCGGATTTAGGATGTGGGTCTTGATTTAGGCGGGGATTGGGCGTGTGAGTGTTTGTTGAATTTCTCGATAGCCATATTCGTACACACCTTACAGACACAAAGTCGAACCGAGCAAATTTTAGTTGAATTCGAGTCAAGAATTAAAGTTGGCTTTGACCAGATTTGGAATCGATACGTCCCAAGATTCAATGATGTACAATATGACATTTCTTCTTTCACTGGAAGTTCTTATTTCGTTATATGTAACATGAGAAACGTTAGCTTTGGTATTTTTTACGTTCTCACATAGCCGAAAGAATCATCTTTGGCTCGTACAACAGCAAAAGAAAATTAAAGATACATTGGGAGTATTGTTTTTAACTTAGGCTAATATTTATTTGCAGAGAAATGGTTGAACGAAAGAGTCTGTTTATTTTCGCATGAGTCCTTGATCCAAATGAGCAAAAACCTTTCAATATCTTGACAACGCGATGAATAATAAATCTTTCTTATAGAAGAAGCTCGACGTCGATACTTTCATCTTCTCACAAATAAGTTACTTTTTTCCAATTAGTAACAGCAATTCTTTCTTTCCTATATGCTGATTGTTTTATAAACAGTCTATTACAAACATTAACCGTCGAGTACCGTACCAGCATCATTACTAAATGAAGCAATGAGAAGAGAGAAAGAAGGCGTTGATAAACATATTCAATCATTTTCTATAGTAACAATATTCTTTCAATCTTCCTTTCTCTTCCGTTGTCAAGTATTACGCACACATCATCCTAGGTTGCTTCATACCAATATAAAAGATGTGCAGAAATGAATTATTATTTTTATTCGTATTCATACAACGCCTGAGAACTATCGAAAGTGAGATTGAAATGCATCATCATTTTGATCTAGTCTGATCATGAGTATCGAGTTATCTGCACGAGACAAATTAATGATCGAGTGGTTTTTTCATGATCACATTTGCCACAATGAACAAATCACTACACCTGAAGCTGTCTAGGCTTCGTTATTCAATGTGGTAAATTATCTTATTTTAGTCCTCAATAGATTGAATATATTGCTATTGGTTCGTGTAGGAGCTTCAGAAAAAGCACTTGATCAATAACAAGCATGTTAACCAGGCATCAGTAAAGATGTCAAAACACTTTTCCAAGATTTAGATTTACTTCATGGATAAATGAGTTGATTTGGTCTAATTTATTTTGGATTCCGGGCAGCAAGCGCCGATGATGAGCTCCATTCTAAAGAGCTTGAAAGAGTTCATGCTCTAAGAACAAAAAATGGGTCTTACCGATCAAGAAATTAAATAAGTCCATGAATTATATGAAGAAAACGAGAAACTAAGCCGAAAATGAGCAGCAATTCTCTATCCAAAAGGCTTTGACAATTTCTTCATACACATTAATGCGTCTTGTCCACCATATTTTGCGATTCTTTTGATTGACTAACTAATAATAGTATTAGAAAAAACTCAACTCTAATCTTCCTATGCTCAAATTCCTAGACTTTTGTCAAAATATTGAACAAGAACATAAATTTTCTGCTCGATTATTTTGTTCTAGCATATTCTCGTTAAGGTATATATAACAGGAGGCTCATAAAGAGCGGATTTATTTTATCTTCGTTCTTCGAGCAATGCAAATTCAATCCAGAAACTCCGTTCTAGGAATACTCTAGAGAGAATTTTGTACTCTATAAAACTGACCAAGTTATTTTTTAAAGAAAATATTCGCATCAACGCAAAATTTAATAGATTAATTGAAAACCGATTCATTCTCGTTCAAGTCACTGAATCTACTTCTTTGTAAACATCGAGTTTTAGTCAAAAAAAAATCCTTTTGAATGCAGGTGTAGAAATTTTCTTCGTCTCAATTTTCTTAATGATTTTAAAAAACTCCATTTTACAACATTAACAAAATAATATTCCTGTTGTCTATAGAAACAGTGCAAGCTTTTATGGACAATAGCCGTAGTTTAACAAGCAGAAGCACAAAGAAATTTGAATAAAAAACACAAAATGCACAATAATGTTTCGATGTTTTATATTGGCTACAGTGCCAACATCAACATAACTTATTCACCAAACAATCGAATTCGACTTGTGCATGTGAATGGAGAAAAGATCCACACTCTCGATAACCATTAACAAGATGAATAGTGTCAGCTGATATTAGCCAAATAGAGAAAAAAATATAGGATTTCTTGAAACTGTCTTGGCTATGTATGACACTTTTTCTTTAGCCTATTTTACTTGGTAAAGTTAAGTTGAAAAATGCCGTTTTTTTTAATCTCTATATGAAAAATCTTTTTTTTTTTCTAACCTTACTTTCCCTAAGTAAAATAAGGTAAGGAGCCACGTTTAGTCCTGACTGAATTCTGTACCAACAATGCCAACTAAAAGGTGACGTTTCTTCTTTTTTCTTGCTCCTCTGTACAATTTTTTATGAAATCAAAATTTGTATATCCAAAGCTCCACTTATCATTCTCAGTCATCTCAAACAAGATTAATCAGCCACATGCGTCCGATTTGTACTATCAAGTCGATATTTTTTCTAAAATTCAACAACAAATTTCTCATCTCGTTTATAGAAGTAGTTAAACTAAAAAAAACCAATGGTTGATGTCAATAGAAATGTTTATCACTTTGAATACAAGTTTTTTTTTCAAATATTCCATTCTATCAGCTTATTTCTTAACGTCAACATAAAGGAGTTGATTGAAAAATTGTACGATCTTTTGGTTCAGAATACAAATGTGTGTCTAATCAATTAAGAATTATTATAATTATACTTAATAATTCGATTTTAATTTCCTCTAATTTCATACTATTACATATTTGTATTTATTGAAACAATTTACAAAAAAAAGTTGATGATACACTACAGGAAAATACGAATGACTCTTTTATAACAAGACGTCATAATTGAGCATCAGAGAAGTATACTCCCCTATTGGTGAAATTGTTTTTGCCCGCATTGTTAGTGTTTCATATTTGATTTCAAGACTTGATAAACGAAAAAGATAAATAAATGTTTCTTTCAAAAAGAAATTGTTGAACATAATTAATATGTGTTAAATTCAAATAAAGTTCGTTGAGATAAGCGGATATGGTCAATATAGATGAATGGATTATGTATAGACAATTTTTGAATAAAAGAAAAATCTTGAGAGATAATCTTGAATAATTCAAGTTCAAATAGATTCATGTCAGTCATTACTAACAATTGAATCTTATAAAACTGAATGTTTGAAAACGGATAGTTTTTAACATGAAAATCAACTTGTTGCTTTCTTCTTTTGATTCAAGATCAATTTTAACATTTTTATCATAAACAATAGTCGATATAAGTTGATTTGATCCTCATTATCGGTAGAAACAATATTAGTAAGTCAGAATTTGACATTCAACGGAACAATAGAAATAATTATGTTGATAATCAATGTGGTGAAACATTCAAAATATTTATCAAGAAACGCTAAAGACAATAATTGAAATTATTGAAATAAATGATCAATTTAGTTAAAGTTGAAGATGCACAGCTTGTCGATGTCAGAGTAGAAATCGAAGCTGTTTGACTGTCTCTTTTTCATAGTCATTTTCAACATCCAGAGATATAATTTATTCAGTGATACGACGATGAATTTCATCACCTTAAATATACAAATAAAAACTATTGTTCTTATTGAACATAGACAAGTACTAATGAGTGAAGTTCAGTATATTTAACAGTATGAAGCATACGTTCTATAGCGAATATGGTTCCGATGGTGAATTTATTCACTTTATCATTGATTCACGGCAAGATTTTTTTTCACATATTTGATCGGAAACTTGACTCTCTTTTAGAAAAATATTATCAAATCGATATCACGAATAAAAAGAGAATCAAATATTCATTGATTTATATCTACTAATGAATATAATATATCGACGACATTCTTCTTTTTTTTTGAACATGTCAATTAACATTTCCTGTGACTAACCGAGTATATTAGTCTTCTCGTTTTTATTTAGAGTGTTCATAGCTAAATGAATTCTGTATATGTTCGTATTAATCATTTTTTTATATTTACATTAATACCTTTATGACCGCTTGCAATAACAATAATATTCTCATTTTAGACAGCAATGAATAACTGATGTTTTTTTTAACGTTCGATGGATATTTTTCTTTTATTTCTAGCGTATTGATTCGCTTCATCACCATTCATGTGTCAATATGAATATTATGCATCATATATAATATACGAGCAAGCTGTCAAAGTTATTTTTCAACAAATCATGTGATCAATTTATTTCATTTAAGGCTGAGTTAAAAAACACTAGACAATAATAACATCATCGTTTATAGATAGTATTTACTAGTGAGTGTGGATCTATTCTTCCGTTACATTGACACAGAATTCAACTTTTTAGAAAGATTTTTTGGAGTAGAGAACAGTATTTTAATTTTAATGAAAACTATCGATAGGGTACTTGATGATGACAAAAAAAAAACATTGTTACTACATACGTTTTTCTTGAAAAAAAAGTTTTAATATATATGAAACTTAGTCAAAGTTTAATATATTTTGTTTAATTTTTTCAAGAATAGAAAAATAAAACATCTTTTTATGATTAAGTTTTTCAAGTGTGTGCCTTTTGAATACTTCAATAATTTGCAACATAACTTAGGATCACTAATTAAAATCAGAACTAACTGTCATTGGAAAATAATTCAAACAGAAATATATTCAATGCCTGTTTTAGCAAACTATGTAGTTTTTTATTGTTGTATAGAGAAGAGAAATCAATGACGGATACTTGTTATTTCCTGCTATGAATTTGTATTTAGTATGCATGGAAGATTGATAAAAAAAAACTATTTTTTTTCTCATCATGATTAATGTCATGCAATAAATGATCTAAGCTTCTTTTAATTTCCATAAGAACCAGAATAAAGCGCAGTTTATTAAATTATAACTTATGAAGAAAAGAATATCAAAAGTGATCGATACAAAATAAATAATAAGTCTGGACTTTGATTAGAATCTAGGAAGCATTATTGCAACGGCTGTATTTTTCAAAGTATTGCTATATAAAAAGATACAGTTTATAGAAAGGAAAAAAACTCAACATCACAATACACTACAAAGCTTATAAGAAAAAAAAAGTATTACAGACAGATATTTTTTAAAAATATGTTCAAGAAATTTGTGAATTAATCTTGTCGATATTTATTCATATGTCACCGATCTAGCTGCAGCAAGTGCTTCAGGAGGACCATCTGATTCTACTGTTGTTTTGTTGTTATGAGAATCATCCTTTGGATCAGGATCATCGTTCGGTTTGTTTAC